CACAATGAAAGACAGAGCTCCAAAGTAAAAAGACCAGCCGTAGTTATAATGGTTCTTTTTGTCTTCATCCCGCTTGTCACCCGGGTCCCCTGTGTTGCTGGAGATGTAGACGATGATGCCGATGATGTTACTGAGGCCTGAGAGAAACAGGGAGTGGGGGGCGGGGCCAGGGAGGGAGAGAGGCAGAGGTTAGACCCACAACCGGATGGGCAGGGCAGGGAACAGGTGGCCACTCCCCTCTCTGATGAGTATCTGTTTATTCTGGTTGATAATTTTTCTTTTCAGTCATTACTTTTGAATGAGTAATAGAGTACAAAGTTCAAATGAGGTATACAATAAACTCTTAGCCCCCAGTTCTCCTCTTGAAGGCAGCTACTGTTATCTTCTTTCATATGTCCTTCCAGAAAAAAATCTCTAACACACACACACACATACACACACACACACACACACACACTCCTATTTTTTTTTTTGCACAATACTCTGGCTGCTTGTTTTCTCACTTAACAGTACGTCTAAGCGACGGCTCCGAATCCGGCCATGGAAAGCTGGTCCTGACTTTCTAACTACATGCGGCACCCCATATGGGGGTGACCCACCTGACCAGGCAAGATCAAGTCACCCTTCTTAAGGGCGCAATCCAGTGGCATTTGGTGATTTCACAACGCTGTGCAAGCATCCAAAGTGTTTCTGTCACCCCAACAGGAAGCCCTGTTCGGCAGCTGTTCCTCATTCTCACCAAAGTCAGCTGTCCCCTGTCAGCTAGTCAGTGGCAGAGTGAGGTCACAGTTAGTGCTGGGGCCCTGAAGGTGGTGCTGTGGATCACGAACATCCCTCTTGGCCCAGCCACACCTTCCTTTTGGGGTGACAAAAATGTTTTGGACGTTTGCACAACGTTGTGAAAGCACCAAGTGCCACTGGATTGTGCCCTTCAAGAGAGTTACTTTTATCTTGCATGAATTTCACTTCCTGAACACCAGGACTTTACAAGTCACTTGAGTGTGCCGCGAAGTTACATCTGCATTCCCCCAAGGAGGCACACTCCCCGGCAGCAGGGACCATGCAAAACAGGCACTCCCGTGTCCCCAGCCTCTAGCCCAGCACCAGCACGGGCAGGTGGGCTGGCGGCTCACCTGCGGCCACAAAGAGGATGCCGGCGCTGAGGACGATGTTGTTCTTGCGGCTGTAGATCCTGCCAGCGCCGATGCACAGGCCCCCCAGCAGAAGCAGGATGGTGCTGAGGATGGGGAAGACGCTGGATGCTCGTACAATGCCTGGCCGGGGAAGTGGGGCACAAAGCAGAAGACAGTGAGATCGGCTGCCCTTCTGGGCATGACTGCATATCTCTCCCAGGAAACTTGCAGCTCCAGGCCCTTCCCTGGGATTTGAGATTCCCATCGGGACCTAGAGACTCAAGGTGGGCCAGGGCCTGGGGCCGGCTTGGGGCCATTAGATCAGATGCAAGTGGGGGCTCGGGGCCACTGGATCACATGCAAGCAGGCCTGCACTTCACCCTGGAGTCACATCTGTCTACCTCTTGCTTAGTCTCTCCCTGGAAGTGGGCACCAGGGAGGCCACAGTAACAGCCGTGAAAGCACCAAACCGCATCACATTTCTGTGACACTGCAAAGCCAGCTAGGCCCTTGCATGAACGAGGTCTCTGTGAAGCCCCTGGAAGGCTGGGGAGCACAAGGGTCTACAAACAGGGGGCCCTGGTCAGTGGTTGAGGGCACAGACATCAGCATTAGGTGGGTCTGGGCACGGGTCCTGCTGTGACATGCTGTCTGTGCACCTTGGTCAATCACTTTCACTCTCCAAAACTCAGCTTCCCATCTGTGGCAATCTGTGGCATGAGGTTCCTCATGCACCAATGTCCTATGTAAGGTGCATAGCACTGGGCCTGGCCATTCTGTACCTTCATCATCATCATCATCATCATCATCCCCAAGGTGACAGACAAGGGTGTGGGACCTCACGACTGGCCTGAAGTCGCAGGGGCAGTGTGGCTGGGCCGAGAGGGATGCTCGTGACCCACAGTGTCCACAGAGCCACCTCTGTAGCCCTGACATCAGGGCTTTGCCACTGACTAACCTCTCTCTGCCACCGACCAGCTGACTGGGGACAGCTGACTTTGTGACAACCTCAGTGCCGTTTTATAACTTGGGGATAGTTACACCTAACTGTAGGGAGTTGAATTGTGGCCTCCCTCGAATATATCTACATCCTAACCTTTAGGACCTGTGAATTGATCTTATTTAGAAAAAGGGTCTTGGCTGGGCGCAGTGGCTCACGCCTGTAATCCCAGCACTTTGGGAGGCTGAGGCAGGCGGACCACCTGAGGTCAAGAGATCCAGATCAGCCTGCGCAATATGGTAAAACTCTGTCTATACTAAAAATACAAAAGAAATTTAGCCAGGCGTGGTGGCGCTCCCCTGTAATCCCAGCTACTCGGGAGGCTGAGGCAGGAGAATTGCTTGAACCTGGGAGGCAGAGGTTGTAGCGAGCCAAGATCGTGCCATTGCACTCCAGCCTGGGTGACAAGAGCGAGATTTTGTCTCAAAAAAAAAAAAAAAAAGAAAGAAAAAGAAAAAGAAAAAGGGTCTTGCAGATGTGACTCAGTTAAGAATCTTAAGCTGAGATCATCTGGGATGAATCTGGTGGGCCCTAGATCCAATGACGAGCATCCTTATAAGAACCTGATAGGAAGAGAAGACACAGGGAGAAGGGCTGTGAAGACAGAGGCAGAGACCTGATGGTGCTGCCATGAGCCAAGGGAAGCTGGAAGAGGAAGGGTCCTCCCCCAGAGCCTTCAGAGAAAGCAGGGTCCCCAACACCTTGATTCTGGGCTTCTGGCTTCCACACCATGACGGTGAATTTCTGTTGCAAGTCACGCAGTTTGTGATCATTTGTTACAGCGGCCCTGGGAAGTGAACATGCCCCACTGGAGGGTCACTGTGAGAAAATGTCAAGCACCCAGTAGGGGCTTAGGGTACCCCTCTATCAGCATCAGGGGTGGGAGGAAGGTCAGAGGGAGGGAAGGGAGACTTGGGAAAGGGAAGCGCAGAGCTCGGCCTTTCCCGAGCACCTGCTGTCTTCCAGCCCCTAGGCTGGGCTGCGTAGACCCTTGGTGGCCCCTGCAGGGGACAGTGAGTTGGGCCGCACTGGCAGGCGCCACCCTCCCCAGCCAGCTGAGCTGGTGTTAGGGCTGTCAGCCTCTGAAGGCAGGGTTTGTCTCCTTTTTTGTGAACGCATCAGTGTGTGCTCCTGCTTTACAGAGCGGGGATTGTCTGGGGCATTAAAGGCAGTTCTTCTCTTCGGTGCCTCCTCCTCTCTGATTCATTCTGGCAGGAGTGGGCTCTGGGATGAAGTTTCCTGTGTGTTTCTGAAATGTGCCTCTGAGCTGTGCTGGCCAGAAAAGCTGGGGTCAGTCATCCCCTTCCCCTCAGCCCCCACAATGCCCTCCCTCATTCTGCAGACAGGTCAGAGGAGTCCAAGAGAAGGAAATCCATCAGCGCTTTGGGAGGCTGAGGTGAATGGTTCACCTGAGGTCAGGAGTTCGAGACCAGACTAGTCAACATTGTGAAACCCCTTATCTCCTAAAAATAGAAACATTAGCTGGGTATAGTGGTGGGCACCTGTAGTCCCAACTACTTGGGAGGCTGAGGCATGATTACCGCTTGAACCTGCAAGGTAGAGGTTGCAATGAGCCAAGACTGGGCCACTGCACTCCAGCCTAGGCAACAGAGTGAGAATACATCTTAAATTAAAAAAAAAAAAGGCCCAGTCCAGTTGCTCTGAGATCACTGGATGCCCAGGCTTGGCTCAGTGCCATCCATCCTGCTCAGGTAAGACACACAAGCACCAATCCCTTGCCACATGGACTCATTCCTGAGCTGTGGATGTGCAATGCCAGCTGGGATTGCCAAAGACAGTGGTGAAGGCCAGGCACAGCACAGGTGGCTAAGGGGTGGAGGGATGAGTGAAGCTGAAGTCCAGCCCATGCCCTGCTGGCCATATCAAGCCCTGACAGAGGGTCTGCATCCGCCAGGAGACAAGACACTTCCTTCTAACTCACCCCCGGGCACACTGTGGACTCCCAGCAGCCCCGACACCAGCACCCCGCAGCCTGGCACAGAAGTTAGCCACCTAACTGGGAATGCAGACCTGAAGAGGGACACCAGGTCCAGGGCAAGGCGGGCAGAAACCCCTGGGACCAGCAGGGCCTGTGGACGAGAAGGCAGGCAGGCAGTGCGGGGGGTGACCCTTTCAAATCTTGGGCTGTGAATCTGCAAATCAGCAGGGACACTGTAAGAGCTCAGAGGCCTTCAGGGGGTTCTGTAACAAACAGCACAAGCCTGGCTTCTCTGTAAGGCTCCAGAATGCATGGCTGGGGCTGAGTTCCTTCCTGAATTGTCAAAGGCTGGGTGCGAGCAGCATAGCCTTGGGTCTGCAGGGTTGGTGCTCTGCACCCGCCTGAATCAGGTCTCCTGCAGGCAGCCCTACCATGGAAGCTTCTGTTGTCTTCTCCAAAACACCCATTCTCCACCAGAGGGCAGGCCCTATTTTCGTTGCTGTTGTACTCCACGAGTCTAATACAGTGATTGGCACGTAGTAGGCCCACAGTAACATTTTTTTTAAGAGATGGGGTCTTGCTCTGTCATGCAGGCTGGAGTGTGGTGGCATGATTGTGGCTCACTGCAGCCTCAACTTCTTCGTCTCGTCATCCTCCCACCTCGGCCTCCTGAGTAGCTGGGACTGGAGGCATGTGCTATCATGTCTGGCTCATTTATTTTTATTTTTTGTAGAGACAAGGTCTCACTATGTTGACCAGGCTGGAACTCCTGGCCTCAAGTGATCTTCCTGCCTTGGCTTCCTAAAGTGCTGGGATTACAGGAGTGAACCACTGCGCTTGGCCATAATAACTTGTTAAATGAATGAATAAACAAATTCTCACGAACCCTCATTTCTTGCAAACATCAGCCTCTAGGGACCTCCCTCCTGTGCTTCTACATATTTTGGGGAGCCAAAGTCTGGACAGAGACCAGAAGATGAAATATTAGAAATCAGGGTGGCACTGGAAACACATGCCAGGGGCCTGTGGTGACCATGACCTTGGCCTGTCTCTGAAAGTGGCTCAGCCCCTCTGGTTCCCAGCTCGCAGGCACCTGCACTCTGGAGATAAAAGATGATCAAAGACACATGCTGAGCTTGGTTTTAGGGCCAGATATCCCTGTTTCTGCAGCCACTGAGTAGAAATACACCTCCCTGTTGGGAAGTCAGTTCAGCCCCACCCCGCCCTGGCTTCTGCCAGCAGCTGAGACCACAGGCCCAAAAGCCGTCAAGCTGTCTCTTCCACGTGCATCTCTGCGCTTGTTAATGAACCTGGCTGCTTTCCCCACAGCGTCCGCTTAAGGAGAACATGGCCTTCCCCAATGAGCTCTAATTGCGGTCGTGCTGTCACCTTCATTTTATCTGGGAAAATCACTCTGCAGCCCTCCCCGCCTCAAGCCCTCCCCAGAGGACCTGCAACGACTCACTCGTTTTTGTTTTTTATTCCTCTTCCAGACCCTCACTCCACCGTTACCCATCCTGCCCTGAGCCCCAGGAAGCTGACTGTGTGGACTGAATCCTTGGGCTCCTGCCTCTGGCCTTTGGACAAGGGTGTCGGTGAGGGAGTTCTGCTGGGCTGCGGGTGAAGGGGCGGCATTCATTCCTTCCCGATGGCCACAGCTCCTCCGCCACAGGCAGGAGGAATCCCCCACGCCTGCCCCCTCACCTGACCAGCCTGAGGAGCGTTAGGGCTCCCAGCTGTTGCTGGCCCCGGGAGCTCGCCAGCCCTGGTGGATTTCCCTTCACCTCACCCACACATTTGTAAATGTTCTTCTGTAAACATCCTTCATTCACCCTGTTTGAGTGCAGCATCTGCTTCCTGCTGGGAGATCGGGAAGCCACGTGGGCTGACCTCGGGGCTACTGCATCTTGAGGCCAATCCAGAAAGAGACCCAAAAGCTCGGGGGCCATGACTGGGACAGAGACAGGTGAGTAAAGAACAGCCAGCGCCAATGCCCACAACCTCAGGGGAGCTCCAGTGGGAAATGGAGAGGGACGGTTGGTTTCTACAACGCGTGCTTCTTTATAGTCCCAGGATTGGGCCATGGGCACATCTACCCCCAGAATTTTAAGAACCAGCTGATTGCCCTGGATTGGGCAGAGAAGGGCAGATTCTGAGTTAGGGTTGATTATCTGTTTTGCTTTTCTTTTTTTTTTTTTTGAGATGGAGTCTTGCTCTGTCGCCAGGCTGGAATGCAAGACACAATCTCGGCTCACTGCAACCTCTGCCTCCCGGTTCAAATAATTCTCCTGCCTCAGCCTCCCAAGTGGCTGGGACTACAGGTGCCCGTCATCACACCCAGCTGATTTTTGTATTTTTAGTAGAGGTGGGGTTTCGCCATATTGGCCAGGCTGGTCTGGAACTTTTGACCTCAAATGATCCACCCACCTCGGTCTCCCAAAGTGCTGGGAGATTACAGGTGTAAGCCACCATGCCCAGCCAGGGTTGACTTTCAATTGAGCCATCCCAGCTAGGCTGAGCACCAAGGGCCTCTGGAGATGGTTGTGCATGCATGCACTGTATAACTGGAGGGATATTCATACATAATTTATGGATGTGACATCCCTTGAGTTGTGCAGTGTGCAACCTGCACAACTATCTCTGGTGGCCCTGTGGGAATCTCATTTGCTTGGTTCAGTGTGGGCCCCCAGTAAGCAGACCAGAGCACAGGCAGGAGGAGGAAGAGGCGAGGGAGGAAGGACGGGAGGCAGAGCTGTGGCCAAATCATTTCACGTTCTGGGCCTGGTCGCAGCAGCCTGACACTGCCCCAGGCTCCATGGGAACCGTGTGCTGTTCTATTTCACCAGATGACTCAGAATCAAAATCTTTTCTCTTAGAAAAAAAGATCCATAAGCAGGTGCAGAGTGAACTGTGCTCTCTCTGAGGGTGCTGGTATCAATTCTCTATCAGCAAGGCTGGGCCCGAGCCCCAGGGGTGCTGCTGTGAGCTGCTCTTTGTGTGTCTTTGCTAACGTAGAGGGGAAAATGACTCTGAAACGCTGCTATCTTTCCATTTCCAGGCTCCTCCCTGGCTGCCCACGGATGAGAGCTGGACTCAGTGTGGGGGCTGGGTTTGTTATTTGGGGCTGAGCTTGTGCTGTGACTTCTGGGCTTCAGTCTGGGGACCCCACGCAGCCACTGGACCCAGGAGCTGGTGGGGTCTCCCAGGCAGCCCATGGACACAGGTGTTGCTGCAAAGACCTCAGGACCGTGCATCAGAGGCTGCCCCCAGCACCTTCCTCACCTTCTCCCCTGGGTCTCCCAGCGCCCAATGAGGCCGTCTCGGTGTGTGACTATATCTGAGTTTTCAAGACTGGAATGGAAGAGAGTGTGCAGGCCCCAGTGTGCTTGGGGTGCCACACCCCTCAGGGATGCCCACCCTGGGCAGAGCCTGTATCTTTTTTCTTTTTTGAGATGGAGTCTCTCTTTGTCACCCAGGCTGGATGGAGTGCAGTGGCGCAATCGTTGCTCACTGCAACCTCCATCTCCCGGGTTCAAGCAATTCTCTGCCTCAGCCTCCCAAGCAGCTGGGATTACGGGTGCTTGCCACCTCGCCTGGCTATTTTGTATTTTTAATAGAGATGGGGTTTCACCATCTTGGCCAGGCTGGTTTTGAACTCCTGACCTCATGATCCACCCGCCTCGGCCTCCCAAAGTGCTGGGATTATAGGTGTGAGCCACCATGCTCAGTAACAGAGCCTATATCTTTAATCTCCCTTGCCCCAGCTCCAGCTCCAGCCTACCAGTAACTCCGAAGCCTGCCACACCTAGTGCCTCTCTGCTCAGGCCTCAGTCTCCCCAGAGCACAGGCCTCTCAGCCAAATAACCCCATTGAGATACCCAGCATGTCATGGCAGTGATGAGCAAAACTCCATCCTCCAAACACTAAAGTCTGAATAAGGAAGAGAGTGAGCGGACCATCCCGAGAAAATCACCCTGTCCACACTCAGTGTCTCTCTTTCCACCAGCTGCCTTCCCCCACCCTCCCCACTCCCCACAGAAGGTAAGTGCAGGCCTCCTGACACTCACGGAGGAGGTACTCCGAGCTGTCGTGGTCGTAGTCATTGTCCTCTGGGAAGTGATTGATCCGGAAGCAGTGCCCTTTATAGATCCCTGGAAGGAACAAGAGGAAAGGAACACTGTCAGTGCTGCGTGGGTTCACTTGCCCATTTGCTCCAGACATGGCTGCTGAGTATGTGAGCCTCTGTGCAGGCCCTGGGAACAGACTGCAAACTGTGAGAATCAAGGCAGGCTCCAGTGCCCCAGCCTGGCGGAGGCACGGGAGAAACACACACAGTGACCACACAGGGAGAGATGTGCCCCAAAAGGGACCCTAGTTATGGTCCAAGGGTGGATGCGCATGAGAGTAATGGGACACAGCACGCATCACCATTGAGACAAGAGGTGCCAGGCGAGTTGCCCTGGGCAAGCAGGAGTTCGGATCCCTCTACCCAAGGGACTCTTAGATACATCTTGAAAAAACCAAAAACAAAGAATTTGTCCACTGTGATTGAGGCACAGGGGGCTTTCCAGCAGAGGAGTAAGACATGCGAAGGCAAGGGCGGCATCTGTCTGTGTCTTTCCCTCTCTTAAACCATAGCTACGGATGGGTGCAGTGGCTCACACCTGTAATCCCACCAGTTTGGGAGGCTAAGGAGGGTGGATCACTGGAGCCCAGGAGTTTGAGACCAGCCTGACCAACATGGTGAAACCTCTTTTCTACTGAAAGTACAATAATTAGCTGAATGTGGTGGGGGGCACTTGTAATCCCAGCTACTTGGGAGGCTGAGGTGGGAGGATCACTTGAGCCTGGGAGGTGGAGGTTGCAGTGAACTGAGATCACACCACTGCACTCCAGCCTGGGCAACAGAGTCAGACCCTGTCTCAAACACACTCAAAAAACCACAGTTATGGTGACTCCTTCCTGGGGCACACAGTTTGCAGATTCCACTCCCCTCACTCAATGTGATTGAAGGAAGGGAAGATGGAGGAAGAGAAACTTCCAGAAGGGCTGAGACCATCTCCTGCTTGGTTTCTTCCTCCCTGCTCTGAGAAATGGCTCTCATGGGGTCGGGGGCCGGACCCCCTAGGTAGCTTAGCAATTCAGGACAGGCCACTCCTCCCTTCAAGAATCTTCCACCCTGCTCTCCTAGTCCTCTGCCTCCCTGAAATCTGAGAATGCCCACCACAGAACTGGACATTGGTTGCCAGGGGCACAGGGTGTTGCTGCATCGTCCCCTCCGTGCCCCTTCCCCCGGCTCAGCCTTCCACTCCTGCAGCCCGGGAGTCACAAGCTCATCTTGACACCCGAGTGTCCCGTGTTGGGGCTGTTTCCTTTTCTGCAGCGGATGCAAGCCTGTTTCCCCACCCCCTGGCCTTGGTCAGTCAGGAGCACAGTCCTGGTGGCAGGGTCCAGGTGCACACCCAACTCTCAGTGCTTCCAAGCAGGAGAGGCCCCTGGTCAGCTGGGAGCACGCTGCCCTTCCACTTGGTCACCACGTTGCTGGTTACCAGCTGCCGCCCCCAAGCTCTTTCCTCCATTGGGTCCCTTCAGCTACCTCCAAGGAGCTGGGGTGCAGAGTGACCACCCAGCTTCCTGAAGGTCTCTGGGCCCCAGGCGCCAGAGGTGGGGGTGGGATGGTGGGGAGGCAGAGGGAGGGTCTCAGAGATGATGCTGGGAGTGTCCTCTGCATGGGATCCAGCATGAACGACGTAGTTATCAACCTCCCCGTTCTCATCTGGAGAATGGGCAGAGCCACAGCCATTATCTCTTGGGGCTCTTAGGAGAATTACACCATGTGGTACTTGAAAGGCACTTAGGGTGATTCTTGGCCCATGGTGGTGACTCAGAGTGTGGGGGGGTCGCTGCTGTTGGATCTAGCAATCACCCACTCACACTCCTTCATGAGTGGCTGAATCGGTGGAGAACCATGAGGGTTTGTGAGCAAGAGGGAGGAACACCAAGACAGGCTGGCCTCAGGGTGGTGGGGGCGGGGTGGGGGCTCAGAGGCCAGAGTTGGCCAGTCACACCTGCCTCCCACTCCTGGCTCTCACACAGCAGGCTCAGAATGTTCCTGGAGACCTGGAGTAGGCATTTTCCCAGCCGTGGGTGGGTGAGACCAAGCTCTTCGCCCGTCCTCCCCTCCCCGCCCCCAACACTTATTTTGGGCTACTTCATGGGTCTACGCAAAATTACCAGTCACGTATGCATGTTGGGACAAGTGACAATAAGAGGTTGAAAAAGAAAAAGGAGTCTCTCTTTCCGGATTTGCTCTGCGGCAGAAGGCTGCCAAGTCCACTCTGTGTCTTTCAGACCCTCCATGTACACACCCTTCCACGTATACACACGTGGGGTTCCGCCCATCTTTAAAAATTTACACTTGTCTTGAAATAACTGTAGAATCGCATGCCATTGTTAGAAATAATACTGGAACCATCCACGTCGCCTTTATACTCAGCTTCTCCCCATGACAACATCGTGCAAAACTAGTCCAATATCACCAGCAGGACACTGACATTGACACGGCCAGGATACAGAACACTTGTCACTGCCAGGAGCCCCCATGCTGCCCTCAAGTAGCTGCACCCATGCCCCCCTGCCCATCCCCTCCCTGCCCTGAGTCAGCCAGGAATATGTTCTCCATGTCAATAGTTTTGTCACTTTGGAGACGCTCCTACAAGCTTTGGGGACCGGCTGTTCTCACTCGGCATTACTGCCTCGGGATGCATTCGAGCTCTCGTGCGGATCGATGGTTTGCTCCGTGTCATTCCTGAGTGGAATTCTGCGTCATGGACACGGCATTGTTTGTTTCATCATTCACCCACCGAGGGACACCTGTTGTTTCCAGCGATTACTAACGAGGCGGTGGAGAAGGGCATGCGATGTCTTCGGCCCCGGGGAGCAAAAATGAGATTGTTCTCTGCCCCTAGAGCCAGGAATCTGGAATATTTCCCCTAAACATCCTCTCTAGGTCAAACACCTTCAGTCATTTCTTTTTTATGCTGGAGACCTTTCTTAAAAGTCTGGTAATCCTTCATTGTCTTTTTTTTTGAGACAGAGTTTCGCTCTGTTGCCCAGGCTGGAGTACAGTGGTGCCATCTCGGCTGACTGCAACCTCTGCCTCCCAGGTTCAAGGGATTCTCCTGCCTCAGCCTCCCAAGTAACTGGGATTACAGGCTCGAATCACCACGCCTAGATAATTTTTGTATTTTTAGTAGAGACGGGCTTTCACTATGTGGATCAGGCTGGTCTCAAACTCCTGACCTCAAGCAATCCACCCACCTTGGCCTCCCAAAGTTCTGGGATTACAGGTGTGAGCCACTGTGCCCGGCTGCCATTTCTTTACTGACGGTTTGGAGAGCCTTCATCTCCCTGGTTGCCTCCTCTGGGCTTGCTCCCAACTCTCAGTGCCTGGACACACAGCTCTACCACCAAACCCAACGTCCAGGCTGGGTCTGAGCAGCCCAAACCACCTTGGCACTTTCTCCTCCTCTTCTCTGGACCCCATGCTTCTGTTAATTTGACCGGGTATCACCGTTGATTCGGTCTCCTAGGATTTTTTCACAAAAGCTGCCTTGCCTCCCCGGAACCTGTTTTTGTGGAGTAGCATGTTTGGCACTAAGGACTTCACATTTATCCCTGTCAAATTCAATTTTGTTAGCGGTGGCCTAAGGCATTTAATAGGGAGAAAATTAATGACTGATGCAAGACATAACAGAGAAAGCCATTTTCTTTTTCTTTTCTTTTCTTTCTTTCTTTTTTTTTTTTTTGAGACAGAGTCTCGCCGTGTCCCCCAGGCTAGGGCTGAAGTGCAATGTCATGATCTCAGCTCACTTCAACCTTTGCCTCCCAGGTTCAAGTGATTCTCCTGCTTCAGCCTCCTGAGTAGCTGAGATTTTACAGGCGCCAGCCACCACGCCCAGCTAATTTTTGTATTTTTAGTAGAGATGGGGTTTCACCATGTTGGCCAGGCTGGTCTCAAACTCCTGATCTCAGGCAATCCATCTGCCTTGGCCTCCCAAAGTGCTGGGATTACAGGTGTAAGCCACCACGCCCGGCTGAGAAAGCCGTTTTCAATCCACTTCACACGTGTTCACTCTTCACAAATGGGCACTTGCTGTGCTATCTATTAAGTGATAGGTGGCTAACTGTGAGCTCCTGACTGGCTGGGCTGCTGGAATGCTGAGGTGGTGAGGTGGACACAGGGTGGCTGGGCTGTGCTCCCAGAAACACTGTGGTCTTTGCCTTTCCGAGGGCCAGGAGACCACTCTCGTGAGACTTTGTTAGCCACTCAGCCTCAGGCAAGTTACTTCATCTAGAAAACTAGGAACTGGGCCAGAGGAATTGGGCTTGAAGATTCTATGACGATTTTGTGAAGAACAGGCACAGTGGTGTGTACACACGTGCATATCCCTTCATTTGCAGATATCATGGGCCACTTTCATTACAAGTATATTTCTTTTCTTTTCTTTTCTTTTTTTTTTTTTTTTTTTGAGATGAGTCTTGCTCTGTCTCCCAGGCTGGAGTGCAATGGCACGGTCTTGGCTCACTGCAACCTCTGCCTACTGGGTTCAAGCAATTCTCCTGCCTCAGCCTGCCAAGTAGCTGGGATTACAGGTGTGCACCACCATGCCTGGCTGATTGCTGTATTTTTAGTAGAGACAGGTTTTCATCTTGTTTGCCAGGCGGGTCTCGAATTCCTGACCTCAGGTGATCCACCCGCCTCAGCCTCCCAAAGTGCTGCATTTACAGGCATGAGCCATCGTGCCCGGCCTCATTAAAAGTATATTTCTATGGGCACAGGAAACATCTGGAAAGAAATATCCCAAAATGTGTCCAGTGTTTTATTTCTGAGTGATAATGAGTGAAATAAATTTTTCTTCTTTACATTCCTCTGAGTTTTCTGACTTTTCTACAGTATCTGAAAATGAACCAATAAAAGCAAGAAAAGAGACCAGATTCTTTGATTCCGAGTGAAAACGAGATGGTGGGTCTGAAATGACAGCAGATGCACTTGGACATGGGATCTGGGAGCAAGGTGTGAACCCCAGGGGCCGGAGGGTGTGTGGGTGGCATTTCAGCCTCTCCCTCCATGACCTTTGTGAAGGTCATGCCCTGGGGTCATGTCCCCAAGTACAGTTGAATGACCAACCCCCAGGACCCAATGCGTTCCAGGGACATAGGAACGGTGGAAGAGTCCTGGCAAACGGGGTGAGCCAGTCACCCTATGAGCCACGTCAGAGACACTAAGCCTTCATATGGGCCACCTGAGGCCATTGTCATTAAGGAAATCCTGGAGAAAAGCATGTCAGAGGGCGACTGGCTAATGGCAATCATTCATGCAATCCTTTCTCATTTGCAATGCGGATTCAAAAGCATGCCCTCATTTGATCCTCACAAACATTCACCGCTGCCACAGGCACCTACTGAGAGTGTATGGTCACCCTCTGTCCGTCACGTACTCCAGCCACACGGGGCTGCCTAGACCAGCTCTGTGCAGGGGGAATCTGCTGACACCTCAATTCAGCTGCACCAATTACTTCTTGCTTTCTGCCCAAGGCACTGAGTAAGTAAGTGGCCTGCGGAAACTGCTTTGCACTCTGGCACCAGTGACTGGAAGTTTGAGGGATTACACCTGGGTGAAACCTTTGAGCAGGTGGAGGATGGGATGGGAGCTGGTGGATAAAGGTCCCCAAACGCTGTCCCTTGGTGGGCAGTTCTAAAGTCTGTTCTACACTGCTTCTGAAGGGGTGGGTCCCAGCAGGACCAAGCCAGGTGATCACCACCAGCTCAGGACGCCCTTGCACTGGCTCTCCCCTCCCCCATGCCAGGTCCTTAGGATGGCCACCTAAGATACACCCCTGCACGCCAGCCCTGAGCTCAGGCCACGGTGAAGGCCGGGTGTGCTGCATGCAACAGCCCATTTCATCTCTGCAATCATGCTCCTTTGAAGATGAAGGAAACAGGCTTAGAGATGTCGAAAGACCTGCTTCCACAAGTCTCACTGCAGAACGATTAGGCATTCTACTCTGTGCTGTAAAACTAAGCAGTTTTACATGTAGTCTTCTCTGCTACATTTGACAGAGAGGAAAGGGAGGCTCAGGGGACCCCTGGCCCCTGCACATGGCACCCTGGAATCCAGCCTCCTGACTCCTTGTCCAGTGCCCGTCTCACATCGCCTTGAAGTAGCCTTTCCAAGAATCCTCTATAGATGGGGCTGGGGCTCTACAGGTGGTGAGGCCCAGCTGATCTTTCTCCCCAAGACAGAACACGAAGCAAAACCAAATAGCCACCAGGTTAGCTTCGAGGAAACCTCTGTCAGGTGATGAAGGGCGAGTTATTAGGAGTCTCCAGGCCCCCGGGAAAGAAGGCAGCCTCGGATTGGCTGGGGCTGTTTGGAGCCAGGGAGAAGGCGGCCCAGCAGCACAAGGCCCCTTTAGGATCTAGGAGGGGACAAATGTGGATAACAAGGACAGAGAAGGAAAGACGGCAAGTAGAAGGTGATACTGAGCGGGACCCTTCCTGTTCACTCATGCGTCACTCATTCATCCTCAACAGACTTGTACTGTTTGCTCATCACTCAATCATTCACTGCTCAACAGTACTGTCATTATTTACTCATTTCATTCATTCATTCATTCCTCAACAGCATTTTACAGAGCCTATAGCACTGTTCTAGGCGCTGGGGCTGCCAGTCTGAGTAAGACAGCATCCTGGCCCTCGTGGAGACCTTATTCTGGTGGAGCAGGGCACAGGGGCTGTTGACACAAGAAGACAAAATAAATGCATATCAGCATCATTTCAAGTGGCACCATGTGCGAAGGCAGGGGCAGGGATCTGAGGTTGTTCAGCTATGGACTCTTGTCCTAAAATTGTGGTGGAACTCAAAGCTGAGGTGATGAAGGTGTGGCGTCCACTTCTGGGAACACACACCCCTGTGGGGGCTGCTCAGAACATCCCCCATCATCCCCACTGTCTCCATGCAACACTAGAAGAGGAGAGGGAAAGAAGCCCAGCCTCAGTCCAGGGGCCAGAAAGGAACACCTACGGAGGCCACACAGACCAGAGAAGGCGGGCAGGGAGAAGACCACACCTGGGCCAAGCATCCCAGCAACTTTGGTTGAATTATCTTAGGAACTGCAAAAATAATCAAACAACATTTATTGTTCTAGAGAGCTATCAACGCGAACTTTACTACCATTTAAAGTGGCCATCGCCCGGCTACTCCACATTGGAGAGATCTCCCTGGACTGCACACTGTGAAAGGGGGTAGCTGCACGTGGGTCACAACCCTGGTCCAAGGGTCAAATGGACCATGTCTGTGTCTCAGAGAGGGGCACACTGCAGGAGCTCACAGCATGCCTGTCCCCCGTCCTCCTGCCAATCATCTGCCGTCACTGCCTCTCCTCGGAGTTCTCCCAGGGCTGCTCTGAGCCTGGCCCCCTCCCACACTGCCCCATTTCCATGGGAAGGAAGGGCACAGCCTAGAAAGACTGGAGGGCTGAATGTTCCCGGGAGGATACAGACCATCCTGGAAATGACCTGGGACTTCATGGAGGAGGTGGGGAACTGAGGAATAGCAGGACTTTAGCTGGGTTGATAGGTGATGGGGGTGTGAAGGAGCTCCGTCCTCATAAGAATGACAGCAAATAGTCACTGTACTTAGTGTCTATGATGTACCAGGCACTATTTTGAACACCTGACATTTATTAACTTACTTGATCTTCATGCTAACCCTATAGGGTAGACAGGCTTACTAACACCCTTTGCTACTAAGCCCCCTAATTGGGATCTGAACCCAGGCTACCTTGGTTCAGAGTCTGTGCCTCTATACCAGGGAGGCAGAAGAACACAGAATGTTCTCAGAGCTTCAAGAAGCTCTGTGTGGCTTCAGCATGATGGGGAAGCATGTGTCCCCAACACTCCTTAGACTTAGACTCTGGGGCTGAGGGTGTTGGATGATGCTTCAGGCTGCATTAATCCTTCACTAACAGACAGAGATGCTGGAGCATGGGAGATGGCAATCCAGGGCCCCACACCACTGGGACAGTGGGTAGTCAGGAAGGGTAGCATGGGCACAAAGGCAGAGCTTGGCTGGGGCGGAAGGCTAGGATTTTTGAGAAGGGCTGATGTGTGCGTAGAAGGTACCACCATGTCTGATGCAAACAAAGGGACAGTTGGGGCAAAGGTGTGAAGGTTCCCAAGGCACAGCTGTCCTGGCGTGGTTGGGTAGCAGTGTTGTGGGGAGTGGAGGCAGAAGGAGCTGGGATGGGGGTGGGGTCTGGCATGGTGGGCAGAGGACATGGGACTTTATTGTACAGTCTCCACGGTGGGGATGCTGTAGTCTGAATATTTGTGTCCCCCAAACCCCAAAATTCATATGCCAAAGTCCTGACCCTGAAGCGATGGTGTAAGAAGATGAAGCCTTTCAGAGGTGATTAGTGGAGCCCTCATGAATGTGATTAGAGTCCTTTTAAAAGAGACTCTGGAGAGCTTGTTTGTCCCTTCTACTATGTAAGAACACAGCAAGAAGGCACCATCTCTAAACCAGGAAGCGGCCCTTGCCAGACACCAAATCTGCTGGCACCTTGATCTTGGACTTCCCAGCCTCCAGAACCATGAGAAATAAATTTCTGTTGTAAGCCACCCAATTTCTAGTATTTTGCTATATATATATATATATATATAACTGTATTTTGTAGTTTGTTAGTAGCTGGAATGGATTAAGGGATGGGGTGACTTCAGGTTGGAAGGCCCTAGGAGGTACCATTCTTAAAGAAAACTGCACGGGACAGGAGCAGCAAGGACATGTAAAACCAAGAAACGCAGCCCAGCACAATGGCAAACAATGCTCTTGGGTTGGGGAGACCCTGGCTCCTGTCCTTGGACGTGTTTCAGATGAGGGACTGGAGGCCAGGATGGAAGTGACTTGGCTAAGATCATTCCAGCACAGAGAGGCAGGGTGTATTAGTTTGCTGGGGTTACTTTAACGAAGTACCACACACTGGGAGATTTCATGAAAGACATGTATTGCTTCCCAGTTCTGGAGGCTTGAAGTCCAAGATCAAGGTGCTGATAGGGTTGGTTGCTCCTGAGGGCTGTGAGGGAGAAAGCTCTTCCATAACTCGACCTTGCTTCTGGGGTTTGTTGGTGATCTCTCCAACAAACAGAAGGCATCAGCTCCATCTCTGCCTTCTGTCCACATCACGTGCTCTGTGTGTGTGTGTGTGTGTGTGTGTGTCCAAAGTTCCCCTTTTCATAAGGGCAGCAGTCACAGTGGATTAGGGCCCACTCTAAAGGCCTCATTTTTTTTTTCTTTTTGAGACAGAGTCTCACTCTGTCACCCAGGATGGAGTGCAGTGGCGAGATCTCAGCCCATTGCAACTTCTGCCTCCAGGGTTCAAGCGATTCTCCTGCCTTAGCTTCCGAGTAGCTGGGATTAAAG